AAGTTCTATAACTCTATTAACAAGTTCGGTATAGCATTTAACAATATGTTTTCTAAGAAATTCAAAAAGCGATATTTTTATAACTTTGATAACGCAGTTAATAAGTCATGTAACAATATTAACAACTCTTATAACCATAATGCTGCCTAATAAGTAGGAAAATTTTGTTGTACAACCTTCACAGGGAGTTAATATTAAAAACATCAACCTTTATGAGAATTGTTAGTATCGTTATATGACTTGTTAACTGTGTCACTGAAGTTGTAAAAATATCACTTTTTGAATTTCTCAGAAAACCTATTATTAAATGCTATACCAAACTTGTTAATAGAGTTACGGAACTTGTTAACGGTGTTACTGAAATTGTAAAAATCTTACTTTTAAAGTTCTTGGAAAACATATTATTAACTGCTATACTGAACTTGTTAACAGCATTACAAAACTTATTAATTATATTATTGAAGTTGCAAAAAATCTCAAAAAAATAATTACTGGCCGGTCGCTTGGGCTCTGGTGACTATGGCCACCTGAAATCCAATGGCCACCACCAACATCGTAGCTTTGACGATTGGCTAGCCGATGAAGGTATTTGGTTTTTTGAAAAAAAAATAAAAAAAATAAAGAGCAATATGGTCATTGTGGTAAATTTGCAAATTCTAATTTGGTCACTTATACTTAAATTGGGATTTTGCTTATTCCAGTTATCATTTTGAGATTTTCAAGTTGAAGTATCATTTTTATGTCATTTTTCCTAAATTTTATTAAAAAAAGGATTTCAAAAAATAATACTCAAATAATTAAAGATCCTCCATATGATGAGTTTGAAAATTGACCCAAGAAGAAAACTATCGAGCTATAAATTTATAGCATGATGCCAAACTTTAGATTTCAACTTGCAAGAGTACATTACTTTAGTTGATAGTTGGATAGCTTGAGGTTGAGTTTTTGTGGGATCTAGAGACAAAATTTAAGTGTTGTGGTGCCTTTTAATGCAAACCACTATGAATTTATAACGTGAAAACAAATCTTTTTAATTAGGACGGGACAAGAAGAATGAATAGTTTGGGAGTGTGCCAACAACTCGCCCATTTAATATTATATGGATAAAGGCCGACTTGTACTTGTACAGAACATATTTAAGCCAATACAAATGAAAGTTGGGCGCAAAATAGAATCAATGATAACGCCTTGCGCTCTTTTTGAGTTTTGTTAGTTTATTTATTTATTTATATTCAAAATTTATCCCCACAGCCGGGCCAAAAAATTTAAACAAGTAAAATAAATAGTAAACCTATAATAAATTTGCAGTTTTACATTAAAGAAATTTGGACACTATTTTAGCTTAACAAGAGAATGAGACTCTTTTCCCTCAATATTTTGAAAGGTTTATTACATTTTGTGATTATTGTTTAATAATTTTTATTGTAATTAATTAGAGCACTTTTTTTTTTATGGGTTATGCATATATACCGTCTTATTGGAGACAATCCTATCTAAGATACCGTTAGAAACTAAATATGAGAACTTTTTCCTACAAGAATTCGAATATTGATTCATTACTTTGTGAACTATTAATCCTTTCCGGTTGAACTCAACCCAATTAGTAAACACTATTTTTATTTTCAATAAAGAAAGAAGCAGAACTACAACACTAGATCAGAGCTAAGAATGTTAAAAATAAACTCAGGAGAACTAAAGGAGCTAATTCCCTCAGCATAGTTTAGAGCACTTTTCGTTGGAGCATCTGCCGCCATGTTGGTCTCTCTACTACACCATTCCACGGTTGCCTTCCACCCTATCCCGTCACCATTTGATCTCGTTCAGGAGACCTCCATCAGGATGATCCTCACTCCAACCAATCATAAGGAGCTCGACAAGTTCCCGGCAATCCGTCTCAGTAGCTACTCGACTCCATTGCATAATCCAGGCTCTCTTCATGCCCCTAAGCACCGCCCATGCTTCAGCATGGAAGCTGCGACCTTGAATACAAAACCGTCAACCACCGTCCCATCATGATCTCTTGCTATACCAGCACACGCAGCCTTCTCGGTTCCCTTCATGTAAGCACTGTCAACGTTATACTACTCTCAGTCCTTAAGATAAAAGTTAATTGACTAATTTGAGTATATTAAGAAAAATAGTTAAGTTAATTATTTTTAATAAATAGGTATTGTCTTTCTTAAAATATCCTTAATTAAGTGTATTGGCTAGCACTACTATTATTATAAGGACTACCTTAAAAAAATAGATAAATATAGGAGATAAAGTGGATTAAGGTTCTATACTTGGGATTAAATAAAAGTCAAACAAGTTCTTATGCTAAAGACTGCAAGTAGTATTTAATATACCCTAAATAATTGGCAGACCAATGACGTTGTACGGAGTTAGAGATATAGCTACTACCCATAACAATCTCCGAGCACATTACTGTTGCATGAGCTTGTGCAAGGACTGAGCAGTACCCTTTCGCCCTATTTTAGGTACAAACTGTTTGGGTAACCAGGCATCCTCCTAAAAACAAATCTTAGCACCGTCTCCTAACTTCCACCCAATTCCTCCCTTTGATGCTTCCCACGCCACCTTAACACCCTTCCAGCTCCGTGACTCCTCTTTCCTACCTTCAATTCTTGGGATAGCATCCTCCCCACATTTATATTTCTCCCTCAAGAACTTCACCCACAAAGCATCTCACTTTTTCACTGAGCCCCAACCAAGTTTCATCATGAAAGCAGAAACACTGTATTTTTTAATTTCCAATTGAAACGAAGTGAAGAAAGGGACATCCCAATCCAACTTGTTATCCTTCTTCATCTGTCATTAATATTCCTTCTCTACTCTTTGTGCCCTACTTTCACACGGACACGGTGACAATCAGTGGGTCGTAATTAATATAGACATCTAGACATTAATAAACAATTTTTATAACAGAAATATTTCCTTCGTTCCATAATATAAGTCATTTTAGCCAATTCATCAATATAAAACAAAATGACATTTAGTTCATTAAATAAGTTTTGAATTGAATTTTTTTTTCAACTTTACCCATATTAAATGAGGTTACATTTCAATATTAATTGTTGGGACAAAATAAAAAATAATCATTAATTACTCTTTAAGTGACTTATATTTTGGACCAAACAATTCTTTTACAAGTGACTTATACCGTGAAAGGAAAGGTGTAGAAATTTGTCAGTTCATTAATGCATTACATATAGACAAATTTGCCATCAAGTGATTTTGGTGTTGGGAGAATTTTGCTGTTCATGATCAGTATATACCGGATACGCCATTTTAAGAACATTTCGGTGCAATGGTTATTAAGGAATCAAACTATGCGAACACGTTATTAAGAAATTCAAATGTGTGTTTATCTTTAAGTATACAATTCCATTTATGATATAGATAAATATTTAATTCATTATATTGTGTTGTGATTTTAATATTTATTGATAGATCGCAGGGTTTCAACTTCTAAATCATTCCAGACTATATTTAATGACCCGGCTGTCCATCCGTTGATTGCCTGGATTTGTCATTACTCTGAGGATGATAATAAATTTTTCAAGTCTATATTGATCTAAAAATTTAAATTAAATTATGATAACAACATGATGCAAATTTTTTTATTCAATTTAAATTCCACGAATATTTTTATTGTATAATTCTTTATGGGAATGAAAAGTTATCCAAGACTTTACATTAATTTTAATTTTTAATTATAAAACAATCTGAATCAATCTAACATACAAACTGATCCGACATACTCAAATAATTTAAGTATATAAAAAATTGAAGTAAGTATATACGAAGGAACACCCAACATCAGGAAATTTTTTTTTCTCTTATATATTTTAAAAGTTTTATTTCGTAGTATTTTTGCTCTAAACCATTATTCGCCGTTAAGTTTGATTGTTAAAGATACCAGTCAAACAGCATACTTGAACAGTAACAGTAAGGGTATTTTTGCTAATAAAATAAACTTTTAGTACATATAAAAGCCAGAAAAACTTCTAGATATTGAGTGCTCCTTTATGGATACTTTCAAGATATTTAAACACCTTATCTATTTAAAAAATCCCAATTAAATTCAACGAAGATACTTAACTTTAGTTTTTTTTTTAAAGAAAAGCTATGGAGGGAGATCATGGTCTTTTAATAACTTTCAAAAATTCCTTATTAAGCATCTTAGCCTAATTAGAAATTCATATTCAATAGACCTATATACTTTTTTTGCTATGCATAGATATCCTCATATTAAAAACAATCCTATTTAAGACATTTTTAAACACTAAATGTAAACACTTCTTTTGGTAAGGATTCAAAACTTGGTTTGACACATGATGAACTAAATCCTTTGATTAGATCTAACTCTCGTTAGTATTAAAAATGTAAACTAGAATTTAAATTTTGGTATTTCAACTGAACTTAATTAGAATTCTCATTTTATTTAAGTTTGTAGTAGAATTTGCATTACTTTAAACCATTCCAAAACCTTATCATATGAAAGGAGACAAGGAATCTCCTTGTCCAATTCCAACTGGTCCAAAAACTCCTACGTCATCCTTCCATTATCAAGAAAGTGGTACGTAACAATGTATAACGAAATAACGACAGTAACTGATTCCCTGGTAAAAATAAAATAGTAACTATTTGTTCATCATACACTATTGACTATTTACATATTCTTCAAGTACTTAATATAAAATCTAATAGGTAAATTAATATTAGTCCTATCTATAAGACTTATTTCACGTATTTATCAATTTTTTTTCAGATTAACCCTATTGATATTCACTAAACAATAATCAAGTCAGAAGGAGAGAAAGTGAATTAAAGATGTTTCGAATGTTTTTAGAAAAAACATATCATAGTAACAAACATCCTTAATCTAGTCAAATTAGTTAATTAGGTCTTATATTAAAAACCGGTTAAAGCAAGTGATGATTTGAGTGAAGTGCTTAGTGAAGGATTACTGTGAGTTCATTTTGCCAAAAACGAAATGTCTTTTAAGATCATCTAGGAAAAATTAATATCAATCTAACTTACAAACCGATTCGACATACCCAAATAATGAATAAGGGGGAAAATTGTATATTGGTAACTTGAGAGAGGGTCCCCTTCCCAGCTACAGCACAACCATTATTGGAGAATGGGTCAAACATAATCCTCCAATCAAAATTTCTCAGATCCTAAGAATGAAAATCATAATTGGGAGAACTACGTGGGACCTTAATCCCAGATAGAATATTAATAATATCCATAATTGCGACTCACCCCGTTTCATGGATCCTCAATTCTAAGCTTTGTCACAGAGTACGACTCCTGAATTCAAAATGATGGAAACTTCCCCTCCGCTCTAAAAGATAACACAAGACACAGAAATAATAATTAGGATGAACAAGAAATTATTATTCCTCGAAGTCATCCTTATCATCAAGGGGAATTGGCCTGTTCCTCCAAAACACAGCAAGAGCACTGCCCCCAAGCTGCATCGCAATGGTGACAAATCAAGTCATCCGTACATTTCTAATCCTAAAACAAGGATTGGACAAACAAAGAAACGATGAAACAATTTGCACATTCGCACAAAAATTGGAATATATCATACCGCCATGCAAACAACACTCACGGCAGAAGGAACAGCTACGAGTGGGTTTGAAAAGTGCTTCTGAGCAAGCAAAAATCCCAGTGCAGAGCTCTGCATATCAGGAGTTAGAAAACGATGAGCATACAGTTTACACTAGAGTAATTACTTACTTTTTTATGAACGAAATCTTCAGCACATAAAAGCAGACTTTAGATCATCTACAATAATCTAAAAAACATCTAGAAAAGGCCTACTTCTTTTATTTACAGTTACTCTTTAACTTCTCTCTGTCTTTTCCTAAATATATATTGTATGCTACCTCCAATTCTTAATATAAGAATTAAATAACTAATTTACAAATATTAAAAAAATTAGTGAAGTTATTTATTTGTAACAAATGTATATTGACTTCCCAAAATACCTTTCATAATCATGTGCCTTATAACTAAAATTTGATAGAAAGCCTCTTATTATGTGCAATTAATGGGGATACTTTGAAAAAAGAACTATAAATTTGAGATAGAATCGAGTGAGGTCATATATTTGTGAAAGTAAAACCCTTGTCTATGTCCTATATTTAGGACTGGAGGTAGCATTTATTTTCTAAATACAAAAGATCCAAACTTCATAAAATTCAATTCAATTCCTTTTGTACATGAGGTACATGAGGTATATAGCTGTACATCTCCTTCAATGATTACCTAGGTTCATATTACCAAACTAGATAATTAACATTTGTTGAAATATCCAACGAGCCAATATTAATCACATACCCTTGTACAGCAGCCGCAACAAAGTTAATACCAAGTAGCTCCCATCCAACCAACACTGACTAACAATTCATGTTTAGTTACGGTTCAAGTCTTGTTGTAGCTCACCCCTTTTCATGCCAATCAATTAGTCTATATTTTCTTACAGTATGCTATAAGGGCAAGCATTCAAGACAGGTTCTCCTCAGAGTACAAGAGACCAGCCAAAGGCTTAAACTGTAAAATGAAGGGTTAAAATATTTGCCTACACGACATAGCCTTACTCCTATTTAACTATTGTATTTATATTGTTTTTGGCATATGCGAAGGGAGAAAAGAGAGAGAAAGAGAGAATAGACGGAAATTCAACAGAACAACCAAGTACACGTGAGGTAATATTTATAACCTGTAGTTTCTAGAATCCAAGTCTGCTACATCAATTAGTTTCTGCCAGCTATCTACCTACCTCTTGCTAGCTATGGGTCTAACTTCCAGCCAGCTAGGTATTTACTAACTTAAGCTACTGCTAACACATATCAACACACTCCCCCCCCCCCCGGCCAAAAAAAAAAAAAAAGAAAAAAAAAAAAAAGAAAAAGAGTCCTCGCCCGCAAGGATTCCATGACTTTGAGGAGCATTAGTTGGAGCATCAGGGAATTGAGCCTGAATAAAAGGCAGGTATTCCCACATTACGTCTTCTGGTTTAGTGTGCCACCACCGAACTAGCACTTGGGTCACTTGTAAGTTTCCTTTCCTAACCGGCTTCCTTCCCAATATCACCATATGTTCCACAGCGAAGTGCCCATCTTCGCCAACAAGTGGCAATGAAGTACTAACAGTAACATCTGCTTGAGAACGTTTGAGGAGGGAGACGTGAAAAACAGGGTAAATGCGAGACCTCTCAGGGAGCTTCAATTCTATGCAACTGATCCCTTTCACTTCAATATCTCAAAAGGGCCAACGTATCAGTTTTTATCTAAATTATTCTAAAAACTAAATTACTCTTCAGTCATATGCAGATGGCCCCATCCTTTTGTACCCATACATTTCTTTCTAGTGACAAATACAGAATTGCTCAAGGGAAACAATATCCCATTAAGCCCTATTCAATTATTTTCCTAATCTTAGTATCAAAGCTATCAGACACACATCACAGAATCCCACACACAAAACCCAATCCTAATCCTATGGCTGATCTCGCTCCACTACCTAAGCCTAACCCCTTCGCCGTCCCCACTCTTGCTGCTTCCCACAACATTATAACTAACACTACTCCTGCTTCCCATGCGGGCACTACAACGCCATCGTCATCCTCACCTCTTATCATCCTGAAGTCTAACTCTCTCAACGAAGTTAGTTTGATCAAATTTAATGGGGTCAACTTTATTGGTTGGGAGTCTCTCTGTGTTTCAGTGATAAGAGGACATCAACTCAAAGGTCACTTACATGGCACCAACATCATTCCTCCAGAATACATCTTGGATTCAACTGCCAATATCATTCCCAACCAATCTTATGATGAGTAGGTGGTCATTAATCAAATTTGTTTCCATTGGCTCTAAGATAGGATGACCATAGAAGCCCCATATCAAATGACACAATGCAAAACTTCCCATGATCAATGGATAGTAGGGAAGAACATGGTTGGCACGAACACAAGGTCCAAAGTACAGTTGTTAAAACACAGGAGTTTCAATGCACCAAGAAAGGATCAGCGAAAATGGAGGAGTACTTGACCAAAATGAAGTCTTTACCTGATAAACTAACCCTTGCAGGAAGCACATTTGCTACAGAAGATCCCATTTCACAAGTTTTATCTGGTTTAGATGATGAGTATAATACCTTAGTTGTTTACTCTCAGACAAGGATAATCTTAGCTGGGTTGAATTCCATTCTAAGCTACTAACTTTCGAAGCTCAACTAGAGCTACTCCAATATGCCACTATTTCTAAAATGACTAACACCTTTGCTAGTGTAGTTGTGAAGTCTGAAACATAGGACTCAAAAAGTAGTGGAAGGTGTTCACGGCAAGGACAAGGCGAACGAAGCAAAAGATGAAATGGTAGAGGAGGTTTTAAACTATGGCATCAAGGTTCAAAGTCTGGAAATCAAGACAAACCTTGGTGTCAACTCTGCAAGAATTATGGTCACGAGGTGGTAACTTGCTACTAGTGCTAGGACAAAGATTATAATGGTCTCGAATGCATGAAGTATAAAGATTCTAGCATACCTACCCCTGCTTCAGCTTCTGTAGCTTTAAATGACACTAGGAATTGATAACAGAAAAGAGAGAAAATGCAGAACTCATTCGGCAAAAGAAAGGGTAATAATGCAGGTACAAGATATATCTCTCTCTCAGCCTGTAACTAACTCCCTAGTTATTTATGAGAATACCCTTTGTAAAACCTCATCCTATCAAATATTAACAATATATATAAAATAGTATATATCAATACTCCCTCCCTTGAAAAGGATCCTTGTCCACAAGGATGGTATTGCTTGGAGGGTCAGTGGTCTAAAATTGAGGAACTTGCAGTTGAATCAGAGAAAGATCCTCCCAAGAAGCATCTTCAACTTGGGAAAATTTCTACCGAACTAATATTTGTGTCACCGGTAATTATGGTGCTTAGTAATCTTACACCCTAGAATTTCTTCAGGTTCCAGCACAAATTGCCCTTGATCATCGATAGGAGGTAATGAGGGTGCTACATTTATGTCCGGTCCAGCATGATTTTAAGAAGCAAAACATAGAAAACCAAATGTACTCTAGTCCCTGGGGTAAATCAAGTTCCTAAGCAATGACACCAATCTTCTTAACAACCTAAAAGGCCAAATAACCTAGCAGCAAGCTTGTGTAAAGACAAGTTATTAACCATATTCCTTCTAAAAGGATGAAGCTTGAGGTAAACCATGTCACTGACCTCAAAATGGTGCTTAGTTCTGTGTCTTGTTGGATCATTCTGTTTTGAGCACGCAGTAGGTGCTGCTTCAATATTTGTAATGCTAGTTCTCGAGCAAGACAAGATCAATCAACCAAATCATTGGGAGAATCTCCAGCTATATAAGGTAAATAGACCAGTGGTGAAACCCCATACACAGCCGCAAATGGAGACATTCCAATAGCAGAATGATAAGAAGTATTATACCTGAGTTCAGTGAGTGGCAGCCACTTAACTCATTGTTTAGGATAATCCCCTGTCATGCACCGGAGATAGCACTTCAAGCACCTATTAAGAACTTCTGTTTACCTATCTGTTTGCAGATATAAGCAGAGAAGAGTAGAGCAAATTAACTCCATATAAACGAAACAACTCCTAAAATTTTCCACAGAAAGTAGGATCTCTATCAGTCACAATTGATTTGGGAAAACCATGCAACTTGATCACATTATCCATAAATATTTGTGCCACATCCATAGATGTGAAAGGATCCTTTAAAGGCATGAAATGTGCAGCTTTAGATAATTGATCAACTATCACTAATATTGTGGTTTTAGAGTAAGATTTAGGGAGTCCCCTAATAGAATCCATAGATAACTGAGCCCATATATGCTCAGGGATAGGCAAAGGTTGAATCAGTCCCGGAGAAGCCACTAATTCAGGTTTAAACCTTTGGCAAATAGTACATTGTCTAACAAAATTTCTAACATCTTTCTTCATTCCCTTCCAATAAAAAATGGAAGAGAGTCTTTTAAATGTTGTATGCATACCTAAGTGCCCTCCAATTCCTTCAACATCAAAATAATTAAGTAAATCATGACAAAGGCCACGATTTGTTCCTACTACCAGCTTTCCATTACGCTTGAGCAACTGATTCTGCCATGTATACTTGGCATGAGAAAATGGATCCAGCTCCAATTCTTTGATTAATTTCTGTAATTGCTTATCAATCAACCAGGAATCAATCGACAAGACAAGACATCTGCTCCTGTATTGTCACTTCCCTTCCGGTATACTATTTCGTGATGCAATCCCCACTGTTTATGGAGCCATTTAAACTGATCCTGGTTCAAATCTCATTGCTCCAGCAAGTGCTTCAAAGGCAAATAATCATTTTTAATAATAAACTTTCTGCCACAAAGGTAAGATCTCCACTGTTTGATCGCCAAAACAATGGCAAGCAATTCACCTTCAATATGCTGACAATGGTTTCCAGGGCTAGTAATGCTTTACTAGCAAAAAG